ATGGTTACTCATAGTGGATGTAAGGAATGATATGCTACAGCTGAGAGGAGAGAGAATGCTTCTAGAATGACCTGGGAAAAGCTTGGTGATTAAGATTAATAGGAGGCAGATGCATACTGGAAACATCCCACCAGATTTGCCAGTTACATGTGAGTAAATAAGATACAATCCAGGAGTAGAGAATAGATTATTATACGTGGGTGAAGAGTTATATGTTAATTTGGTTGCACCATTGATATTCAATGTAACTCCCCCCAAATGACCTTTCCCTGCCTGGGTCTGGCAAGAAGGTAGGGGAAGATATTGACACTATTCACCTGTGAGTAATTGAGTAATTGAAGGCCTGAAATGCCTTCCTGTTTTATGTAAAAAGAGCCCTCTGAGAAATAGGGATGTGATCTCGCCACCGGTACGAGCCAGGAGTGGATCACGTCTTCTGGCCCCAGAATCTGACTGTTCTCTGCCTCAACTTTGGATTTTAGACAGGACAGTAGCCACCACCAGGTGAGACATTTCCTCAATTTTCATTCGTTTCCGTAGGATGTTACCGTAATTAGAAGAACACAGAAAAGTCAGGGAATATACTCGAGGGATGACTTAGTGGGAAATGGAGCAAGCTAGTAATATCTTGGAAGAGTTGGACATTTGGGACTTTTCCAGTCTCCCTGGGACTAGTTTGGCATTAATTTGTACAAAAGAAATGAATACTGTACTTTGTTTAGTGATGCCAAAGAAGTGTTTGTCGCTGTGGCCTCTGTGTGCTCTAATTTTATATGTGCATCTCTGAGAGGGCTTCAAAAAGTTCATGGAAAAATGGTATTAAAAGATAATGAACCCTTTTCTATCAGCTTGTGGCAAACTCTTATGTGCAGGACATATAAATGTGTAGGGGAACCATCACCACCATGCACCTATGTACGCCTCTACATCTTGTTAGGGAGTGACTTTCAGAAAGTCTGGGCAAGAAAAGATCTTACGAGTCCAACCTTAGGAAACGCAGTCCTCCAGAGACAATGATTATGATGCCTGTGCTCTCTCTACTTTTCTATTATATTTTCTTCCCTTGAGTG